ATCCCCCGTATAGCCTGAACAGACTGTTGGGGAAAGTGCTGTTAGCGAGCACCTGTGAAGGCCGGAACGGCACACGAGGGGGTGGGTGGCCAGCACCACGCCCGACCGCTTTTGTCTCCCCAGTGGCTATGTTTACACACCGCACCAGGTACTGATTTGAGGCTGAGTCGACCTTAAACGAGGCCCAGAACCGGTTCAGATAATCGTCACCGTTGTTGGCCGTGCAACGGGAATCGAACACGGGTCGCCGGGTTCGGAGCGCAGCGTAGCGCTAACTGCTGCGCCACCGCTCAGAGTGGGGGGTGGCCACACACATCAGGAGGCCTGGAGGTGATTCAGAGGGATGGGAACGCGTCCACAGGAGTTTGAGGAAGTCGCGAGCTTAAGGAGTCTTTTTGAAATACAGGGTGCTTCAAAAAAATGTTAACACGTATATGGTACTATCGTTTTTAATGGGAAAAGAACGGATAATACACTCTAACATGATAACAGGTATATGTTAATAGCTTCAAAAAGTCAAAGTCTCCACTCGTTCGCAATTAGTCAACACGTGCCTGGAATCTTGTCCAGGTGGTCTCCAGAGCCCGGAAGCAGCACATGTATTGTGGTTTTGTTGCAAATTCTCAGAAGTGTTAACATTGTTTTGAAGCACCCTGCACTGACGCGCGTCACCATGATATGTCTGTGGACCACGAGCTCGCTCCGGTTGCACTCGAGAGGGAAACTCAACACGATGCAGGCTCCGCGTGCAGAGCCTTGGCTAATCCACTGCTGGATGAGGGCCTGCCCACTCCATTGCGGGGGCATTTAAACCACAGGCTGGGTCAGTTCAGGGGAAGGCAGGGAGCATCAAAGTAGAGCAACAACAGATGAGTTTGCCGTGCCGACTTCTCTCGTTCACCACGTGGCAGCAGGCTGCGTGACTCCCTGTTTGTGTCTGGCGGTCACAACATTCACGCACTATCCTGCCTCGATCCTGCTCAGCTGCCCAGGTTTCATGAGATCGGTTGCAATTTTACCAATTTCACTAGCTGGCCCAAACAAAATGCGAGTTCATGTGTCGATCATTATAGCTTACCGTTCAAATGAGTAGTTGTACACGTGCCGTAATGTATCATTGCCAATGTGATATTTTGGTAAAGCCCCTATGATGATGCTGTACCACAACGTGGCAACGTCGCTCCCCCCTCCCGCACTCAACACCGCACCTCCGATTGGCACGGTTGGCTACGTACGGTGCGCATGAAGTTCAACACTCATACACTCACCCACTCACTCACCCACCCAATCACCCACTCATTCACCCACCCACTCACCCACTAATTCAGCCACTCACTCAGCCACTCACCGTTAGCTACGTACGGTGCGAAGTTTAACATCCATATACTCGCACACTCACTCAGCCACTCACTCACTCAGCCACTCACTCACCCACTCACCCACTCACTCAGCCACTCAGCCACTCACCGTTAGCTACGTACGGTGCGAACGAAGTTCAACATCCATACACTCACCCACTCACTCAACCACTCACTCAGCCACTCACCCACCCACTCACGGTTGACTACGTACGGTGCGAACGAAGTTCGACATACAAACAATGGACGAGTGGAATACCTGGTCTCTGGGCCCGCGGATCATAAGGGACACGGTTCAGCGGCATGAAACAATTCCCCCTTCGATTTAAAGCTTTCGTGACTGCAGGGATTCATCTTCTTGGTTCTTTCGGTAAAGTCACGTAGAATGGAAAGAATAAAATAATAAAAAGTAAAACATTATAAAATTATTCTCACGACGTTTCGGCCACAACGCAAGCAGCCGTCCTCAGGTGAAGACCAGGTCTGTCGAGGCGACAGCGTCCGAGGACGGCTGCTTGCGCGTTGTGGCCGAAACGTCGTGAGAATTATTTAATTATGTTTATTATTATTATTTTATTACTTCCCTTCCACGTGACTTTACCGAAAGAACCAAGAAGATGAATTCCCCCTTCGTTTCATCTCTAAATCCAGGTAAAACGGAGACCGATTTTTCAACTCGAAGATGTTTTTTCGTTTCGCGACGGGCCATCGTGTACGCGACGGGCTGATTGCTGCATCATTCTTAGCGCGTTTGCGCCGCGCAGTGGACTGTCAAGGGAATGCACATGCTCGTAAAACAATGACACCGTGCCTCATCCGAGGTCCATTGCCCCAAAAAACGTCGCCTCGTGGTTTCTTTTACTTGAGTTTGTGCCTACGTCTTCTTGGTTCTTTCGGTAAAGTCACGTAGAAGGGAAATAATATAATCATAAAAATTTAACATAATAAAATAATTCTCACGACGTTTCGGCCACAACGCAAGCAGCCGTCCTCAGGTGAAGAACAGGTCTGTCGGAAAGGCAGCGTCTGAATGACGTCTGAATGACGCTGTCTTTCCGACAGACCTGTTCTTCACCTGAGGACGGCTGCTTGCGTTGTGGCCGAAACGTGAGAATTATTTCATTAAGTTGTATTTTTATTATTTTATTATTTCCCTTCTACGTGACTTTACCGAAAGAACCAAGAAGATGAATCCCTGCAGTCACGAAAGCTTTAAATCGAAATTTGTGCCTACGCACTCATTGCCAAACGCGGTCTCACTAAATAATGAGCTTAATCATTTAAGCACCTTGCAGCAACCCTACCGCTGGATGAATGCCCCCCCCCCCCCATGCCGCGTTTGGCCACGAGGTTGTTTGACCATACTTCACCATGCTCGTCGGTACGGGATGGCAGGACCCCCCCACCCCGAAATAAAGTTATGAGACTCGGCGAAGCTTTCCTGGATAAGGCTATCGTAATTATCAGCAAATTAAATTCTGCCACGTATCAGGGTTCATCCTAGGCGTGTAAAAGTTTGACTGTAAGAGTAGGAATTGTATGTACTATATGTTGAACTTCTTTCGCACCGTACGTAACCAACTCTGCTAATCGGAGGTGCAGTGTTGAGTCTATGGGCAGTGTTGAGTCTATGGGTAGTGTTAGTCTACGAGTAATTGTTAGTCTATGGGTAGTTAGTCTATGGGTAGTTGTTATTCTATGGGCAGTGTTGAGTCCATGGGTAGTTGTTAGTCTATGGGTAGTGTTGAGTATATGGGCAGTGTTGAGTCTATGGGCAGTGTTGAGTCCATGGGTAGTTGTTAGTATATAGGCAGTGTTGAGTCTATGGGTAGTGTTGAGTCTATGGGCAGTGTTGAGTTCATGGGTAGTTGTTAGTCTATGGGCAGTGTTGAGTATATGGGCAGTTGTTAGTCTATGGGTAGTTGTTAGTCTATGGGTAGTTGTTAGTCTATGGGCAGTGTTGAGTCCATGGGTAGTTGTTAGTCTATGGGTAGTGTTGAGTCTATGGGCAGTGTTGAGTCCATGGGTAGTTGTTAGTCTATGGGCAGTGTTGAGTATATGGGCAGTGTTGAGTCTATGGGCAGTGTTGAGTCCATGGGTAGTTGTTAGTATATGGGCAGTGTTGAGTCTATGGGTAGTGTTGAGTCTATGGGCAGTGTTGAGTCCATGGGTAGTTGTTAGTCTATGGGCAGTGTTGAGTATATGGGCAGTTGTTAGTCTATGGGTAGTTGTTAGTCTATGGGTAGTTGTTAGTCTATGGGCAGTGTTGAGTCTATGGGTAGTTGTTAGTCTATGGGCAGTGTTGAGTATATGGGTAGTTGTTAGTCTATGGGCAGTGTTGAGTCTATGGGCAGTGTTGAGTCTATGGGTAGTTGTTAGTCTATGGGTAGTGTTGAGTCTATGTGCAGTGTTGAGTCTATGGGCAGTGTTGAGTCTATGGGCAGTGTTGAGTCTATGGGCAGTGTTGAGTCTATGGGCAGTGTTGAGTCTATGGGTAGTTGTTAGTCTATGGGCAGTGTTGAGTCCATGGGTAGTTGTTAGTCTATGGGCAGTGTTGAGTCCATGGGTAGTTGTTAGTCTATGGGCAGTGTTGAGTCCATGGGTAGTTGTTAGTCTATGGGCAGTGTTGAGTCCATGGGTAGTTGTTAGTCTATGGGCAGTGTTGAGTCCATGGGTAGTTGTTAGTCTATGGGCAGTGTTGAGTCCATGGGTAGTTGTTAGTCTATGGGCAGTGTTGAGTCCATGGGTAGTTGTTAGTCTATGGGCAGTGTTGAGTCCATGGGTAGTTGTTAGTCTATGGGCAGTGTTGAGTCCATGGGTAGTTGTTAGTCTATGGGCAGTGTTGAGTCCATGGGTAGTTGTTAGTCTATGGGCAGTGTTGAGTCCATGGGTAGTTGTTAGTCTATGGGCAGTGTTGAGTCCATGGGTAGTTGTTAGTCTATGGGCAGTGTTGAGTCCATGGGTAGTTGTTAGTCTATGGGCAGTGTTGAGTCCATGGGTAGTTGTTAGTCTATGGGCAGTGTTGAGTCCATGGGTAGTTGTTAGTCTATGGGCAGTGTTGAGTCCATGGGTAGTTGTTAGTCTATGGGCAGTGTTGAGTCCATGGGTAGTTGTTAGTCTATGGGCAGTGTTGAGTCTATGGGTAGTTGTTAGTCTATGGTCAGTGTTGAGTCCATGGGTAGTTGTTGGTCTATGGGCAATATGTGTGTTGAATTTCTTTTGCACCACCGTACCGAGCCAACAAAAAGCAGTTATAAAGAAATGAGTTTTCAATCTGGATGATTTAAAAGTGCCATTGGCTTTCTAATATCGGGAGGAAGAGCGTTCCAGATGGCCGCAGAAGCGCATCCTTGCTCGATGGCTAGCCTAAAGCCGCTGCTGCGAGGATGCCCGGAGTTCGCGTGATGCTTCTTGACGAGATGAGCATGGCAGTGGTTCATCTGTGGCAAGCTCTGTGCGTGTGGCGAGTGCGACCATGAGCCCTGTAAACTTATAAGAACATATGGGGTCAAACATTCAAGTCTAAGAATGAACAATTTAAACAAAATTGGAACTTCCACGTTCTTCCACACCCATCCATGGACAAGGACGGCAAAATAAAGACCTTAAAACAAAGCTGAGCACCACAGCAATTTTCTCTTAAATAATATATTCTTTTAAATATTTTTATTCAAGTTTTCATGAGCGTGAGAATGCAACTCCCGACGCCTCGGCAGGGAGGAGTGGCTGAAGGAAGAGAGGCATTATTGCTGCGGCATTACATAAACCCGCTTAAACCCAAATAATAACAGCCACTTGCGATTGGCCAGCGCGCGCACACGCACACACACACAGGCGCATATTTGCATGCAAGCAAATCAGGCCCCAGAAATGTGTTGTTCCTGCGCGTGCTCGCGCGTACGTGCGTGTTTAAGCCTCTAAATCTGAACTGGGGGAACCCTAATGATCTTCATTTCACGAGATCCACGACACTTTCGAAACGGCCTGCAAATGACATTCACCTGTCACCGCGGGCGTTATTAGCCGCACTAATCGGGTCCTGGAGGGGCTAGGATAGGATACTTTCAAGAAGGCAATGCAGTTCATAATTTTAGCGCGCTCGGTCCAATTCTCCCACCGCAATGGGCTTCTCTTTATCTTTGGTCGACACTTTTTTTTTTTGCCCAATCAGATTGCTTCTATTGGTTGGTTGTGTCAACGTATCGAACCACCAAAGGTAATTAGAAAGTCCTATCCAGGCGCTCGGTAAGGGAAAAACCTTCCCCACACCCTGCTTTAAATAAAAAAAACAACAAAGGAACTAAACGCACGTTACAGCAGTTCGATTTTTGGCATTTTGGCAACTTTTGGCAAATGTCACTTTCAATGCGGTGGGCGGTGGTGGGGTGGGATTTGTGAGGGGGCAAAGACATCCCTGGGTGATGCACAGAGGTTTTATTCAAGGCACGACTTCTATTGCACGGAATGTCTCGGTGCGGACGCCGCTCCGTCTCCAGCCGAGCCACCCTTCTCGTCGGGATCGACCCACTCTTCCACGTCGGCACCGCCTGGCCGCGCGTCGCGAAGCAGAACTGGCTCGCTCGATCCCGAGCCCGCGGCGTCGTTGTCATCCCTGGACGGGCCGTCGTGCGAGAGGCCCCCGGCTCGGACGTCGGGAGGCGGCTTCAATCGCGGGACAGGTTCCGACGACGCCGGGATCCTCTTGGAGGACTCCACTTCCGGTTCCGCGAGAGCACCGCGGCCGTTGCTCTCCTGCGTGGCGCACCAAGTCAACTTTCTCTTCGGTGCCTTCTTTTTGTTGGCAGATGACGCGGTGCCGCCAACTTCAGCTGGGTGGACTTCCGATCCCATGCCTGGCCTCGCCGAAAGCGAGTGGTGCTGCTGAAGAGCATTGTAAGGTCCGCCATCGGCCGCCGCTTGAACCCCACGGATGTTTTGGATCTTTGTGACCTGCGTCTTTGGGTCTCGGTGAAGACGATACTGCGGTGGGCACTGCTGATGCATCTGGTCACTTGCCACGTATGGTGCGGGCAGCATCTGTAGGCAACTAAAGGAAGCCTGGCTATTATTTGACGCTTCCGTGGCCCAACTAATGACTTCGTTTTTACCACCACCATCGCCGGCGTCACTCCTGGCGAGGTGACAGCGTTGCATTTCATCGCCTCTCTCCGATCGCGTCTCGTTTCGAACTTCCCTCACTTCTCCGTTTCTTCTGCTCTTGTCCGAGCGCGTCGTGACGTCCGCCGCGTCGGCCACGCCGCTCTGTGCTCCGCGGCCGCCCTGCCGTTCGTCGTGAATCATCGGAGGCGCCGTGCGGTAGCTGGGAGCCGTCGTGTCGCTCGTCGCATTTGGCAGCGAGCGCGACTGATCACGGGACGGCCCACACCGCAGCGCGTTGTGCATCATCGACTGGACCGTGCGATACGGTTTCAGGGCTCCGAAGGAACACGGACGCAAGTCGGGGGCCGGCAGAGAGGACGCGTCGGCAAAATCGCGGGAGCCCGTCGCAGCGAGAAACAAAGGACCCGCGCTGGCATCAGCCACGTATTGAGTCGACACGGGTCCGCCGAGGTCGCACGCCGGCACAATGCTGGTGCGACGGGCAAAGTTGGGGTTGGCGTCTCGCGCGTGCGCAGAGGCGGAGACGAAGGAAGGCGCGAGCGCGCCGGGGTGAAGTTTGACGTCGGGGTTCGGCACGTTGTGAACAAAGGCCCGATTCGGCTCGGGGTGGGATCCGCGGAACGACACCGGATAATTGTCGGTGGGGGCGGTCGGAGTGGGCGGGTGGAGGGCGAGGGTGCAGGGCAACGGTTGCTGACCGAGGGTCACGTTCGGCGCGACGCCCAGCCGCGGCGCCACGTAACGGGCGAGCGCGAACGGCGGCGGTACCCCGGGCCCGCTTACACCAACGAGATTCACGAGACCCCCGCCGCTCATGAAAAAGCTCACACCGCCCTGACCGCCGGCCGTCGGGAAGTATGGCGCCGGTTGCGTCAACAGCGGCGTCGCGCGGCAAGCGGCGGCGGCAGCGGCGTCGTCGATGACGAAGATGTCGTGGGTCGTCGAGTCCTGGCCCCCGCGGACGCAAAGCGGCGCGCGCTGGGTCTGATGGCAGCCTCCGGCGGTCGTACCGATCGCCGAAGAGGCCGCGGCGCCGGCGGCGCCGGCGGTGCAGGGCTGCTGCTTCGAGCACGAAGCGGCGGGGTGGTTGTCGCAGCCCGCGGGAGAATTGCTCGGCGCGTCGCCGCACTTCTTGACTTGATTCTGAGGGATCTGCGAGAAGGTCGTCAGCCCGGCGTAAGTAACGCGACGTTGTTGGGGAGATAGCGAAGCTTAATTGTCGCCGACGCACAGCAGCAAACCAACACGTCGAAGCTACGCCGTCACATTCCTTGCTGTTGCTTACGTTTACGAGTACGTACGGGGAGCGGGAGCGCAGTGGTTGGCACGCTGCGCCATGAACCCGGCGACCCGTGTTCGATTCCCGCTCGCAATTCATAACACCACCAGTGACGATTATCTGAACCGGTCGACTCAGCCTCAAATAAATACCTGATGCAGTGTGTAAAACATCGGCACGAGAGAAGACAAAGGTGGCTGTGCGTGGTACTGGCCACCCACCCCCACACGCGCTGTACCGGCCTTCATAGGTGATCTTTTACAGCACTTGCCCCAAAAGTTTATTGAGGCTATACGGTGGATGTTTAGTCCTTTTTGCTCTGTATGTATATTTAGCCAGTGGTCAAAATGTAAATGTAGCGTTAGCGGCAATAAAACCCTGCAATAGCCTATGCTCATGGACGTTGCCCCTCCATGGAACACCGCGGAATAAGAATTGGAATCATTGTGGAATGTGCCGGACAGGACGAGTTTGGTGCTATGAGAATAATTTTTACCGGCACATACCAGCACACGCATTTAGCACCGTACGTAGGCAATCATGCTAATCGGCGGTGCGGGCGGAAGGACAACAAACTAAACACAAAAAGCAGTTCTGAAGAAATGGAGTTTTCAATCTAGATTTAAAAGTGCATAGCTCCATTGGCTTTGTTAAGATCGGAAGGAAGAGCGTTCCAGACGGTGCGAGGCACGCGATGAAAGGAATAAAAAAAGGGTCGTATTGTCGGCTTACCTTCCAGTTGCGAATACGCTTCATCCTGTTTGGCGATTTCTCCATGATGTCTAGGAATTGTTGAGTAAGCTCTGTAGGCGGGAGACACAACTCCACTTGTGACATAGAATTGTTCCCTGAAAAAAAAAGCCTACAAAGATTTTTTTGGGCTTAAATCTAGAAGTTCTAAGCATCTAATAATGATAATAATCGACCGTGGGTAGTCTGTCATCCGGCAGTGAATTGATAAGCGCTGCAAACAACTATTATTAATACTTTTTTGCGGTGCGTACAGCGGTGGTGTGGTGGGTTGATGCCACCGCGCTATGAAACTAGCCACCCGAGTTCGATTCCCAGCCACGGCCAACACCAGCGGGGGGAGAAGGGAGGGGGGCATTCCACATGAATCGACAGTCTAGATTTTATTTTGACTGCTTGTGTTGTGGTTATTGCAAACATGATGCCTTGTATAAAGGTGTCAGTTTTGTACCAGTTTAAAGGGTAAAAACCTACTACTATATTTTGCCACTGGTAAAGGAGGTCTCAGTGTAAATGCTTACCCCGAGCTCTCAATACTCTGATATTGCGCTGTCTTTGAGTTGTACGCCTTTTGGCGTCATCTGGTCCAACACCAATGGAGACTAGGCTCTAAGGAAAGCTGTCTCGGGTGTGGACCAATCAACTTCAAGGACAGTGCATATCATTACCATTATCAGAGTTGTTTCTTTTTGTTTGCATTTTGACTGCTTGTGTTGTGGTTATTGCAAACATGCTGCCTTGTATAAAGGTGTCAGTTTTGTAACCAGTTTAAAGGGTAAAAACCTACTACTAGTCTAGATTTTCTTGAACAAAAATAACCCGTGAGCGCTATCCACATGCAGGCCTCAGTGCTACGCACACCTTGCCCCCACCACGTAAGGGGGGGGGGGTGTGGCAGCTGTCAATTGGCTACACCGCAAGCCAGAGGTCGCAAACGGGTTTTGATTCCTTACCCGTACCCGGCCGCACCAGGGTCGCAAACGGCTACCCGTACCCGTACCCGGTTGGGTACGGGTAGCCGGGTATCGGGTAGGTTACGGGTATCGGGTACCCAGTTGCGACCTCTGCCGCAAGCAGGGCACCGAAACGGGTGAGACAAGACGCCACGCTTCGGATTTGGAGAGGCGTTCAAATGATTAAAACCCCTTGGGCGGGATTTTTACCAACGACTCATCGGCGCTCACCGTCCAGCAGCTGCAGCGTGACGGAGGTGTCCACGTAGGCCCACCAGGGCTGCCCGTCGCTCGACATGGGGATCTCCCAGCTGGACCACTTGCAGGCCAGGTGGATGCAGACGCACGCCACCACCGACGGGGCGTACCGCAGGCACAGCGTCGTCAGGTGCAGGCTTTCGTTTCCCGCCGCCCCCAGTTTGCGCGCGGATTCAGAGCGGCGGGAAGAGAACGGGGGAAAAGTGGAAACGTTATGAGATTTCAAAATGTAACCCCACCGCCAACCCCCCCCCCCCCTTCTTCACTTTTATCCTGCAAATATTCTGCCGCTGAAAATTACCCCGACGGTGGTAGGACAGTGAGCCCAAGTGCTTCAAGTCGAATTTTTTCGATTTAAAGCTTTCGTGACTGCAGGGATTCATCTTATTGGTTTTTTCGGTAAAGTCACGTGACTTTACCGAAAGAACCAAGAAGACGCTTCAAGTCGGTCCGCTATTCGAGGGCGCGTCCTGGCTCCAGACTGTGACACGATCGTGACCCCCATTTCCCCCTCTCGGATGTCTGCGTTGTGTTGCTTGTGCGTACGTGTCAACACGTGACGTGCTGCCCGCGTCAATCGACCAATCCCTGGACACCCTCGAGTCTCACGTGAACTATAGATACACGTTCATATTTTACAAAACAAACCAGAAGCATAAACAATATATTTCCACGTGCATATATACATGGACACAGAGGTGCACCCTGGGTGGAAAGAGGGGGAGGAGGAGGGCGGGTAAATGGAGCACTCCTTTCCCGCCTCTCGCGAAAAAAATGTCATTGTAATATTTCACATACCATTTTTGAGATTTTTTTTTTTCCTCGTCAACAACGAAATAGGTTCCGTCCTTCGTCTAAGCCACAAGTCGAATTGTTGCGTTGTGTCAGCCGCTTTAAACAACTTACCCCTCCTCCAAAATGTCACGTTGCGAAATGAACAACGCAGAGTTTTTAAGTCGTAACGCGGCGTTGCCACCACCACCACCACCACCGGCGCACAGCAGTCGCTCCTCACTCTCGAGGGAGGGGAGGACGACTCAAGAGGCGCGGGGAGGAACCACAGATGGGCGGGAGAGGCAGCAGCCACACGGTGAACCAGCACCAACAATTGCCAGAGTTCTGCAGTCCTCTATATGTGGACATCTGCGAAAAAGAGCTTTGAAGCTTATGCGATTCCTCCGGTATAAATAAATATTCTCATTCCGATATGGAGGTAATATCGGTTAATTCGTGAGTATTTACACGTGGGAGGAAGCCGGGGCACCCGGAGAAAAACCCATGCGTGCGAGGGGGCAACGCTCTATCCCGCACAAAATGGAACCAACGGGAGTCCACATTTGCCGTATCGTCATCTCCTGGTGAGCCAGAGTATGACACCTCGCCGCCCACGCCAAGGGGGTTTTTCACAGTATCTGTGTCCAATCCACCAACCCTTGTCTCCACAGAGCTGGATTACAGGCCGTGCAAAGTCAACACCGCCTGGTGATAATTTAACGGGAGGAAAACAATATTTGCCGCCTCCACATTTTTTTTATTGCATGCACAGCCCTTTTATTCAAGGCCTCATCTCCAATTCTCATCATCTGGACCCTTTCTCCCTGCCCCCCCCCCCCCCCCCCATTAAATTTGTGGAAAATCCTATTATCCGCAGGTCACCCTCGCATTAAAGGACCATGTATGTGCGTTCATCTAAACGAGTTGTTTCCATCTCCTGGTGAAAATATGCTTGGATTGGATTCTAACTAGCATCTCTATTTTTCCACGAATAAGTCATCCCAGATGTGGAGGCAAATTCAACCAACTGCCCATACCGATGCGTGGAGTCGCCCAAAAGTCACCATTCACTGGCAGTGGCCAATCCACTGCTAGATGAAGGCCTCTCCATAGCCGCCACCATTTCCTGCAACCCTGCGATGAAGTATTCCACCACCCGGCAACCCGCGCGCGAGTCGATTTCATCGTTCCGTCTTCTCGGACGCTGCGTTCCACTCCTAGGTTGCCACTGCCTTCATTATTATTTAGTTTCTCCCCGAAGTGGCCTGCAGGAGGAATGCATGCACTCCTAATATTATCTGATCCCCCTGCTCGTCGAAGAGGAATTACCCAGAAGTGTCACAAAATGCAGACCTATTATCCGTCAATAAATGCGTCGACATTGACATTGTGGATATACAGCGCACCGTGGAGGAGAGCAGGTTCACACACCGTTACATTGACCACAATGGGCCCCACAGATAATTAGTGCGTGTGCCTTCCCCGCACAACTCCCCGGTGTTCATTACAATCACGAGTAGCAAAAGTGTGCATTTGTTCCACGACAAAATGCTTCATCGTTTACCCCTTTTCCACCGGCACATCCCAGCTGCTTAACAAACCGATGAGACGCCGTGACCTCGCGCGAAATGTGAATCTGGCTCGGGGGGTGGCCAAGCAGGTGCCAGGGGCGGGGGGATAATGAAGCCTTCGCTACGCGCGACGTCAAGTCGGCGCGCTGTGAGGACGCTGCGAGGGAGCTGCGAATACGCCGCGTCACAGCGGCGGCACAGCGGCGTCACCGTCTACACACGATTTGTGCGTGATGTCAGCGGAACGGCTCGGCTTCTGCAGTGGAAAAGAGGCATCGGACACAAAGAGCCCAAGCCCGCAGTGGAGCAACGTGCAGAGTAAAAAAATATATAATTTACCAGGTAAGGCCCAGTGAGCTATACAACTATTTTTACAGAAGCGACCTGGCCACAAATGACAGCTCAATGAAGTGGCCAATCGTGTGGAAATGTATCGCAGCCAAATACTCTCAACGCGTGATGCTGATGATAAATGCGGAGGGTACAACCGGAGGACCCGGAGAAAAATCCACGCGACCACTGAGAGAACATTCAAACTCCAAATATACAGGCGGTAGGATCAGGATCGAGTCCACGATCTCCCGTATACCAGGGGAGGTAGTTAACATCTCGCCACCATGGCACCCCGTTGAGAAACGCCTCAAAGGGGGACGAAAAAAATGATTTAAAGAGTTTCTTTACGTTGATCTGAATGAATATTAGATTGCAACACTGTTTCTACTGCAGACGCTTTGCACAGATTGCCGAACAAATATCTCGTGAGCTCAGAGGCAAGCGGCAGTGATGTCAGCGAAAGTTCACAGATTTCAGACGGAACCCGGCCAGCCAGAGGTAGAGCCGAAACTCAGCGTGCCAACACGGAAGGGTTGCCGCGATGTTTGCCGACACTCCCGATGTATTGTACCATGTGTGCGAGATCCACCCCGCAATCCGTATCATCAATTTAGTCAAATATCGTCGTTACGTGATTACTGTTTCGATTTAAAGCTTTCGTGACTGCAGGGATTCATCTTTTTGGTTCTTTCGGTAAAGTCACGTAGAAGGGAAATAATAAAATAATAAAAATACAACATTATAAAATAAAATAATAAAATATTTTATTGTTTTATTTTTATTACTTTATTATTTCCCTTCTACGTGACTTAATAAATAATAAAATAAAAATTATTTTATTATGTTTAATTTTTTAAAATTTTTATTTTCCCTTCTACGTGACTTTACCGAAAGAACCAAGAAGATGAAGGTCATTACTGTTGGTCATTTAAGTTTCCAAAATTTTTTTATTTCCTGACAAAATATATATTCTTGGGTCTTTCGGTATAACGCAACAATTAACGTGGGTTTAAATAAATACTGCAGCTATTACCAATTAAATGCTTTGCATTTTTTTTTTGTAACTGACAGCGTCGTGGTTATATGACAACGTAAGTCTTGTAGGCGGTGTAGCGGACAGCATGCCTTCGCAGCATTACAGTGTATAAAAGTTGGAATGATTGGAAGGTTTATGATGGATTTATGCTGCATGAACTGCAGTTAAAGAGGTTATAAATCACCTTTGCTTGTACCCAGAAGTACAGAAAAAGACAAAAAACGCATTCGGGTAGAACTGGGAAACGCAATTTTACAAAGCTATGAGAGTGCCGTCACGACCTTCGTCACACATCGTGAATAATTTAAAATTGCGTCGTTTCGTGCACAGTTACATCGCGGGAACCCTGCAACCTGCAGAGACTGTCGCTGGTTTTTTAACCACCTGTTGGTAGCCATGAAATAGGAAGTGTGCGCCAAATCCTTGCTGGCTGCAAGGCAAGAAAGTCAAACAAAACAGGAATGAAGTATTCGCGAGCTCGAAACAGTGGGACGTACACGAGGAGACGCAAGTACGGGACTTGTGCCCTCGCAAAAGGAACCAAAAGATTTCTGCGCTCTTTCAGCCAAAAACGCAGCAGCAGCAGCCTTCATCTGTAAACCATACGCCTACGTTTCTTCTCGTTCTTGCCAACAGGCTTTCTGCTCGGCATGTAATGGATTCACCATCTCGCCCCTTTCCCCCAGAGATTCGATGAACCATCACAGTTCTGCAATGCGATTTGATGCAAAAAAAACAGGGAGCGTCTTTGCCTCGTATTGTTTGCACTGTTTGGTGCACGATGGCATCAACTGCTCGTCACGGTCCTGCAAAGCATCTCACTCCTGCGCCACGTGCCGAATCCATCCCTCCATCTCCCCGGTGGGTGGCCGTCTCAGCCAGTTCTCTCCTTCGGCTGCGATGCCATCGGCGGTCTGCCCTGCCGAAAACGTGCCGCTTCCTTCCATCCGGCAACGCCAAACCACTGCTGGATAAAGGCCTCCGCGCTCCACGTTGGTCACGGCGGGGTCCTCGGACCATACTTGACCACACTAGGTAGTGCAATTTGGCGACGGAGACTGGTAAGGGCTCCGGTTTGGACGTCGCTAGCCACTGATGTCAGCAATGCCTGGGAATTAAGATTGGCTTCGCCGGTTTGATAGTGCGTTGCGCTAACCACGGCACGCCACCCACTCCACCCAAACGGAAATTATTTGATATCTTTTTTTTATTGGGTAATTGTTATGACGTGCGCGACCCCTGCGCAGCAATACAACACTGGGCTTCGTTGCACAATTTAAGTGTGTCACTTGCCTTGCACAGCCACTTCATTGGGATTGTTTACAAATGAAACGGTGGAAAATTACAGGCTCGGTCTTCAGTCCCGTAATCGCTCGCGCGGAAACCTATCATTAGCTGGGACACCGCCCCCCCCCCCAGTTGATGTGGGGGACACACTTCCCACCGCTGTCACATGCCTCCCGTCATCTCAAGTAAGGCACCTGCCGTGGCCGGCATTATTCTATGGAATATCTCAGATTTTTAGAGCTTTAAAAAATACGCTGGGATAACTAGCGGCGTAATTTTTTTTTTACTAATTAAAACAGGATAACATGCCATTGAATAGTGTGTGTGTGTGTGTTAGTAAGATTCAATGACGGTATTTATGGGTTTTGAAAACTGTCTGCACAATACAGGGGCTGGATATAAGCACACCCCCCGGGCCAGCTGTGTGGCTTATATCAGAAGTACCGTGCTTGTGTCAGGAGTTAGGCTTTACCTTCTCCCCCCCACTAGGGTAATGTAAAAACACGTTGCTTATATTAGACACGTGCTTTTATATACGGTGTGCTTATATACAGGTTCCGCTGTATAAGCAAACGCTACCTGAAGGAAATCGGAACGAATGAGATGGCACGGATTGAACAACACAATACAAACGAGACAAAAACAATTGCATCGAACCGTGACGACGAATTGTGACGGATTCATCCATTCGTGGGGGGTGACGGGAGGGACCTGACGAATTCCGTGCCTAAAAATATTTACTAAGCTATTTTTATTTTACCAAGTAAGGCGCACTCAGCTATACAGCTCTTTTTCAGAAGCGACCTGGCCACAAATGATAGCTAAAAAAGTGGCTTACCATTGGAAATGTATAGCAGCCAAATACTGTAAACGCAAGTTGATTCTCATTGTGGAGGGAAGAGGCGGAGAAAAATGTACGTGACCACGGGGAGAGACATGCAAACACCAAATATACAACTGGCGTCAGTCCGGGTCGAACCCACAACTTCCTGCATACCAGGCGAGGGAGTTAACATCTCGCCACCACGGCGCCCCTTGCTATTTCCATGCCTACAAAAATAACAAGGACCGTAGTTCAATGTCGGTTCTGGAGTAAGTACCTGAACCTTCACTGTGCAATGTACGCTACACATTATCTGGTGATGCTGCTGCTGCTGCGATGGAAGTGGTGCGCACAACCACAGTTAACAAAAAAACTCAAACTCAACACACTCGTCAATAACACTGTTACGTGCTCTTAAAAGTACTGGAATATATAACGGCCGACGTTTCAGGCGACGGCCCTTCTTCATGGCACAATCATTATCCGGCACGAGGATGGAATGCTCACCTCGAACCAGCTGGCTGCACTTTACAACGTGAGTGTGTGGGTGAACCACGGTCACATCGAATCCTAGAGGGGGGAGAGAGGGGAGGAGGAATAATACGATGAAAATATAATAAAAGATCAGAAATGAATTTTAAACACCCAGTAATAGTTGTAAAAAAAATAATAGTAGATGTGTAAAATTTTATTTAAAAAGCCACGTCTTAAATTGTTTTAGATAATCAACTGGTAAGCTGTTGTGGGGGCCTGCGATGCGTTTTCTAATTGCACCGCTGTCCAAAGACGATCCCAGCACACGGGGTGAAACGGGCGTCATGCCAAACGCATCAGAGACCTAATCGGTAAGTTACCGAAATCATGTTGAAAAATATTATTTATTTTACAACAGTTTTTAGTTAGTTTTCTCCTCCCGATTGATCGTGAATTGTGCTGTCGGCATTACGTCACGAGACAAAAAGCATCTCTCACGGAAAAGTGCAACCGTCTTGTTGGGAACGGCCCACGGAAACGGATACCACAGAGCTACCTCTGAGTTCCTTTCAAGTGAACTCTGTGCAGCACAAGAGGGAGAGAGGGAAGGGGGGGGGGGAGTAGCATTTTCTTACACGCCATGCCACTGAGAATAGTGTTCAATATGTGAGTGAAAGTAATATTTTTTTATTCTTAGAGCTAGAATTTATCCAAATTAAGTGCAGAACCAAATGTACTGTGATTGGGTGTTTTTTGTTCATGCAGTCATTGGTGACCGGGCTGAGACCATCGACTCACGACACCAGAGAACCCGGTAAAATCACCTGGACTTGTATACTTTAAAATATCGTCTGATAAAATGTATTACAATCAGCAAAAAATTATTGCTGTGGTTTTCCCACCTGATGATGATTGCTTGTGTTGCGATCGAAACGTCGTGATTTAATTTATTTTATTTATACCTACGTGACTTTACCGAAAGAACCAAAGAGTATAAAATGTATTACATTGGAGTCTGTTCGCGGAGGCTACGTACCTGATGACGCATACATACCCAGTGTTTGCAGAAGCATTGTCTCTAACATTATGAGGTCCTGCGCTTTCTGCAAGTATGCCTGCCGAAAAACACCCACGCCAAAATATACAAACCACGCCAACAACACCATTGCTGAGAGCACTTGTTTGCAAGGTACCAACCATCAAGAATTATTTTAACGTGTGATTTTATCTGGCGTATCATTCACTCGACTTGCATCAAAAAATCGCTCCAGTAAGAATGTGTACACCTGCACACGTTTCACACAAAGGCGCAGGCAGTTACAGAGAAGCGGGAAGAAAGGCAGCCAGAAGCGGCTCTAACATTTTCGTAAGCTCTGCGGTCCTACACCGAGATCTTTGGACAACTCCATTAACCCTTTCCCATTTCCGTTCCGTCATCGCAATGAAACCGGAAGAAAAAATAAAATAACTTTATTTAGTGCCGAGGCTCCCACAAGGCCGTGCAGAGTTTGGCACCAGCTAACGTAGACTGCGGTCGTGTCGCTATGGTTCTCTGCGGCGCTACGCCTCTCTAAATAAAAATAAACGCTGAACCAATTGTGCATTCCGAGATTCAGCGATAAACGGGACCCCCACCTTGCAACTTGCGGACATCTCGGTTACGGGAAAGGGTTAATTAGTGTTTATTCGTACGGCCAACATTGAAAGAGCAAGAACTGATACGAGCAAAGCATCGGCGAGATGTCTGATGAGGGAACTAAGAGAGGGTTAATGGAAGAGGCTACGGGGAAGAGGAAGCAAACGGATCCGTTGGTGGGGCAATGCGAGCCGTTGGAAGGGACTCTCACGTGACAGACGTCGAAGATCGGCAACGACGAAACGCGTCCGTCAGCGGAGGACATCAACCCTCAAAAACGACGATGACGGGTTGGATAACGAGTGGCATTTATATGGCGCTTAGATGACTTGGAAACGCACAACACCTTACGTCCCATTTCATCTGGGGCATTCTAGCCAGTGGGACCCCCCACTGGCAGCTGTCCCCGTGTGGCACAAGGTGTAAGCAGCACCAGCAATTCGTCTACATTAAATGGCTATTATTTCCCAATTAAGCAATTTTGTAGTAAATTTATCGTACATGACAAACTTTTGGAAGTGACGCCGGGGCACGCGTGACCTACTCTCTTCCCGAAGAATGCCACATGGGATCTGCATCGTGCACACCGAGGCAGTTACGGTTAGAGCGCGCGCAGAATTAACCAGAGCCGCTGCTGGGCTTGAACCACCATGGACCCCTTGCAATGCGTGCCAAAAATCACGGCTACCATCAGGCCGTGTCACCGCCCCACAAATGCCTCCAGCGGGACGGATCGCAAAAAATCGACACGGTGACTCGGCCGACTGGAAGGGCATTTAGGGCTCATTGCAGAGGTTCTCGGTTCAAACCCCGGCCGCCTCAGTTAATACTGCGCGCGTATTAACCGTCAAAACACGTGTCGCCTGCATTGGACGTCACGGCGGTCGTTAAAGATCCCGTGAACCGATTTTAAAAAGAGTAGGCCCGTGTGTGTGCCAGCGTCACTGTTCCAAACTCGTCAAATTTGAAAGATTAAACTGCAAACTACGCAACGTCGCCCCCCTCCACTACTGGCAGGATAATGCTCACTCGCAGGCCGGTGCTGCGTCACCTCATGCCACAGAGGGGCAGCTGTCTTCACGGGGGGTCTCCAAGGCTGAAAAGTGAAAAAAAAATATTTCTGCTGGTCATTAGAATAATTAAGATTCGACGCTAATGTGCTTTGAGATGCCGTGGCATTTACAAGCAGTGCCCGATAAGATGCAAATCCTCATTTCTAATGAAAACAAATCTCGGTGCCAGTCGGCTCCAGGCAAGTCTACTTTAGCGTGGCAGCACCTCCCCGGTGGGACGCTCTACGTTGCCGCCCGTCGGCAAGATTCTTTTTTGTTTTTTACACGGAGCCCGATTATGCACGCAGAACGTGCCCGTGGGAACACACGTGATCGCGTGTGCAAAAATACACCGCAACCGATATATTATGCCAATGTTGCTCCAGCCAGGTCCGGAAACCCAAGGTATGTCAGTGAAATGGCAGCTGCCTGCAATCTCCGCCGAAAACGTATCCCGATTTTGTTGACCGTCTGACAGAACGCACGTGATCAATGCTATGTTTGTAAATAATGCTGTGACCAAATAAACCGGAATGCACCTGATCTCCATCAGGCCTCAGAAGGCAAGCAGGCTTGCTGGGGCCTGAATAGTAACTTAGATGGGTGACCACCGTGCATTGCCAGGTTGTTATATTGTGGCTGCTGGGGGCTGTGCTACATTGCGGGCAGCAGAGTGCAGTGCATTAGATGAGTCTGCTCTACAAAGCAGGCCTTTTGATTTCTACAGGCCTTTGGTGGTCAAAGTAGCAAATGAAATCAACCTCGGAAGTTGAGGGCTAGACAGTGCTTGGATGGAAGTCCACCACGCACGCATAGGGTGCAATAGGTATACAAGGAGGGCAACAGAGGGCAGTGTGGGAAAATCCGCCGTTGTACTGCACTTTCTATGCTCCCATGTCCATCGACACAACCCGTCTTCACCGACCGGTCCTGACCATGATGATGAAGGTATTCTTAATCATTGCAACGACCCGAGGGATAGAATGACGCATCTGGGAGACACATCTATGGAGGAGATGGAGCAATGAAATCAGCTCGTGCGTAGGCAGGTGATACATCGTATTGAGCGTTGATAAAAGTCGGATTGCCCAGGGCACGTCATTTAGAAGGGTCGATGGCCGGCGGTCGACAACAATGATGGAGTGGCAGTCAAAGGAGAGAGCACGCCGAGAGGACGTCGACCACGGAGATAGAGCCATGAAAATAGCTAGTGTGAGTACACTAGATTAATCACCGCATTGAAAGACCCTGAGAGATGGAGGCGGTTTGGGGAGGTCTTCATCTAGCGGTGGATTGCACCATTTTTTTTTACCAGTTCAGGCTCCACTGAGTCGTATAAAGTAGCTCTTTTTCCGAAGTGACTTGACCAAAAATGATAGCTTAACGAAATGGCTCATCCCGTGGAAATTTACAGCAGCTAAATACTCTAAACGCACGTCGATTCTAAATGTGGAGGGAAAAACCAGGGGTGTGCCCAGAGAAAAAGCCACATGACCACGGGGAGAGAGAACACGCAAACTGCAAATACACAACAGGCGTCATGGTGGGGATTAAACCCACAACCTACTGTATACCCGGTGAGCCAGTTAACATCTCGCCACCATGGCACCCACAAATGCATGTTTCTAAGGAAAAAACGGAGGACCCGGATAAAAATCCACGTGGACACGGGGAAAGAGAGAGAGAGACACGCAAACTCCAAATATACAACCTACAACCTCCTGCATTACGGGGCGAGGTAATTAACATCTCGCCATCGCTACTGTGTGGGGTGAAGGGCCGTACCACGTGTTTCGGGTTGAGCGGAGCCTCGCGGGGAGCCAGGCAGGCCTGCGCCACACGGATCACATGCTCCAACTTTCGAGGCTGGTCTTCCACTTTGGCGGCGAGGAAGATCGCCGACTGCGCCAGCAGCTGAAATGGGAAGGCAGGCGTAACGCTTCGTTGAGCTTTATAGACGGCGCCGTCGTTCGCACGAGTTGCACGTCGCAAGCGCCGAGGAAGCAACAGGCGATCTGGAAGGCTGCGGCCGGTGTGCTACCAACAATTGCCCCCGCTCTGTAGTCCTCTTTATATTAAGGTGTTTTTTCTGGCCAATTAATGAGTGTTTATACATGTCGGAGGAAAATCGCAGCACCCAGCGAAAACCCATGCATACGAGGGGGCAAAACTCTCACACACAGAGGAGATGATTATTATTAGTTGTACCGCATACTCTCATGGCAAGCAAGGGTACGGCACCTTCATACCCATTAAAACAAAAAACTAAAACTACACGTATATTTTATTTTACTGATATTAGCTGTGCCCAGGAATGGAATTCAGGTTCAGAATGCAATGTGCAAACCATTGCCTCACCAATTTGTGCTTCCACAAGCGTGGTTGATGTAAGAGTCGTTATGTTATCAGTGTTATGTAATTCTCTGTTATAATGTGTCTCTAGAAGACAGTCTCCTAAACCTTTGAGATGCAGTCATATTTAGACAATACATAAAGCAGTTTCTTTAATCATTAAGTAACTTGATACTGGCAAAAGGGGTTCCCCATAGCCACATTCAGACACCTTATGAATTTAAATAGCATATCGAATTTAGGTCGCCAGGTTCACAGTGCAGGAGAATGAACCACTGCATATCCGCTTTTCTCCATATTTTTTTTGTCACTGTTATATCACACTGCTATTAAAAAAATGATGTATGCTTCGAGTTTCCTGGCTGGCTGCTGGCTGGGCTACTCTCCACCACCCCCAACTGTAACTCTGTTGCTAGTGGCTGCTGCGGGGCTGTTGCCACCGAAGCTAGCCGGGTAACTGGCTAAACGAGATTATCCGCGTAACAAATAACCATTCAACCGAGTTGAAACGTCGGAAGTAGTAGTTCGAAAGACGTAAAATTATTATAGTAATAATAAAGACACCAAAACGGTGGGTTTAACGGTTAATTTAAAATCCCTCCAACGTTGCAATACATGCTCCGAATTCTTTCAACGGATTTTTGTATGGGAAATCCTCCAGAAACATACACGTTTTACTTACGTGTTTGTGAACGTCTTTGAACGAATGGAACATGAAAAATCTGTGCATGTACACAATGGCCGTGTTGATCACCAGCTGGGGCCTGTTCAGTTCGTCAAGGGTGAAACAAGTCAACAACACCACCACGAGTCCTGACAACACCGAGTGTGCAATGTACACGAAAACACAATCATAAATGGCATTGACACAAACATACCAAAAAATTGTCAATAAAAAAACGTGGCCTTAAAATAATATTGTTTTTTATATGATTGGTAACGTTTTTGGTAATGAAAGCTTATTGTTTACAAGGGGCTGGAGTCTGCACTTAACACCAATAACGTCACCCATTAAAAACGTAGGATTATTATGCTTTTATTGCCACTGTTATAGGGGGGCACAACTGCCAACATAACACAAGCAGTAGCATCATCGCCAGATAATTTGATTTAAAACATTAATTTGGTCAAACGCCTTAATGCAGGGCCCACCTAACCTAAAAAGTGTTGAGACTCATTGAGGCTTTCCTTAATATAGCCGTTATTATATAAAGTACGATAATAACATTATTGTAACTGGACAAACATCCGAATGCAGGAATCTCATGAAAAAAGTTTCTTTGAGGCTCACCAACGCTTTCCTGAAATTAATTTACACGCGGTATAAACAATGCCATGGGCAACCGAGGGCAATGCAATTCAATCCGTTGTACTGTGCTTCTATACCCCCCCCCACCTTCACTTAAGACGGAGAAGTAGGCTAAATAAACCCCAAGGATAAGGCTGCTTATAAACGGCGAGGACTGAAATTGGCCCAACGTGATGTAGCTGTAGGGGGATGCTCTCCTGACATCGAGGCGTCAAACCGATGGGTTTTTTTCTCCTCCCATTACATTAAAGCCCATTATTGTAAATTTTAGACAAAATTTATCTCTCATTAAAATACACACTCAACATTACACAATTAATTGGCCGCGCATCCCAATTAGAAGACCCCTTCTGAAATCGAGACTCAAGACCCAGGCTGAGCCGTTCCCAGAGAGGGCCTTTAAATATTCCACCCATCGACTGGACGGATGCCTCCAAGTGGCTTCCAATGTAAAAATCATAACGCCGCCACCCCCCCCCCCTTTCATTAACGCAGTATTCCTGCCTTACTTACACCCCCACAAAATGACAAAAACACACAGGGCAATATATATTCTGCTTTGTCATGCAGGGGGGGGGGGCGATCCATTTACAGATACACAGCGCCCAGGGACATCCAACGCCCCCCCTCCCCGCCCGCCTTTGTAACTTTCTTCTCGTGGGCGCAGAGAATCCCAGCCCGAGCCGGGGGGGGGCTCACGGGAACGACTGAGCCCCCCCCCCATCTCCCGGGGCGCATTCGTGGACGCGGTCGAGATTGGGTGGAGGCAGCAGATGTGCGAGCCGGGCCCTTTGGGAGGGAAATTTGTTTTTTTAAATCCACCGCTCTTTACGTTGTCGTGCTCTGTGTGTGTGGGGGGGGTGGGGGGCAGGGGTGGGGGGCAGGGTGGGACAGAGCGGGGTGGGGGGCAGGGCGGGGTGGGGGCAGGGCGGGGTGGGGGGCAGGGGTGGGGGGTAGGGTGGGACAGAGCGGGGTGGGGGGCAGGGCGGGGTGGGGGGGCAGGGTGGGGTGGGGGGGGCAGGGCGGGGTGGGGGGGCACAGGGCGGGGTGGGCACAGGGCGGGGCAGGGGGTGGGGCAGGGCGAGGTGGGGTGGGGGGCAGGGTGGGGGGGGGCAGGGTGGGGTGGGGGGCAGGGTGGGGGGGGGGCAGGGCGGGGGGGCACAGGGCGGGGTGGGGTGGCCGGGGGGGGCACAGGGCGGGGTGGGGGGGCATGGGGGGGGGTACCTTTAAATGGATCGGGCCCAGATTTAAATGCAGCGGATTGCCACCCCCCGTCTCTCTCTCCATGCATACAGTTCCGCGTACTGTATCGGCGATCCCTTGCCACGTGAGAGTTGCCAACCACGGCGAGAATATGAGCGCAGTGTCTCCCGAGCGCACGCGAACCGGAGAAGAAGACGAAGACGACGAAACACGAATGCGAGACAGGGAGTGCCGTGTGGACATCACACGGAAACCCACCCAATAGTAATAATGTCCTCGGGGAGGCTTACACAATCATTCCGGGTACAGCCTCGACTGTTACACGAACCGGTATCAAAAAAGATGATCCTCGTCAAAGGAACAGGAGGCCACACATTCCACGTGCGAACGAACGATGCGAGCGAGCACGTGGGATGATCACAGCACACAACCCATGACGATGTAGAGGAGGAGGAAGAAGATGATGATGATGGTGATAACAACACAATTGGATACACGTTGAGGCGCTGGCCCATGTCTTGGACGAGCGTGGCGGCTTGCTGTCGGTACAGCAGCTCGCGTTCTGCGTCAATGCCGGCGAGGCGAGACGGAGTCGCGTCCATCTGCTCGCGCGTGAAGATCCACGGCCTCGCCATGGGCTCCCCGCGCGGGACCGAGCGCGGGATGACTCCGAGCGCGGCTGTCCGCGCCGTGATTGGCTGTAGGGCCACCCTCGGCACCCGGCACCACCCCCCACCACCAGCACCACCCCCACCCTCGGCACCAACCCCCACCCTCGGCACCAACCCCCACCCTCGGCACCAACCCCCCACCACCACCCCCACCCTCGGCACCAACCACCACCACCACCCCCCACCCTCGGCACCAACCCCCACCACCAGCACCACCCCCACCCTCAGGACCAGCACCACCCCCCACCACCAGCACCCACCCCCAGAACCACCCTCGGCACCACCCTCACCACCCCCAGCACCACCACCAGCACCCACCCCCAGCACCCCCACCCTCAACACCAGCACCACCCCCCACCCTCAGAACCACCCTCGGCACCACCCTCACCACCCCCAGCACCACCACCAGCACCCACCCCCAGCACCACCACCAGCACCCACCCCCAGCACCACCCCCACCACCAGCAATACCCCCACCACCAGCCTCACCACCAGCACCACCCCCACCACCACCAGCAGCACCACCCCCAGCACCAGCCTCACCACCAGCACCACCCCCACCACCAGCACCACCACCAGCACCACCAGCCTCACCACCACCCCCACCAGCCTCACCACCACCCCCACCAGCCTCACCACCACCCCCACCACCACCAGCCTCACCACCACCCTCACCACCAGCACCACCCCCACCAGCACCACCCTCCCCACAACCAGCACCACCCTCCCCACAACCAGCACCACCCTCTCCACCACCAGCCCCCCCCCCCCCCACACACCGTCAGCGGCGATGTGACACTTCCAGCGCCGCCGCCGCCTTGGGTTGAGATGGGGGGGGGGGTCAATCAGTGCGTGAGCGAGTGGTGGATTTCCCCCTGGATCGAATCACAGTGAGTGAGTGTGGATGCTCTGGATCGGATGACAGTGAGTGTGGATTTCCTGGATATAATCACAGTGAGCGAGTGGTGGATTTTTCATCTGGATCGGATCACAGTCAGCGAGTGATGATTTTCGGGATAGGATCACAGTGAGTGAATGAATGAGTGATGATTTTCCGGATCGGATCATAGTCAGCGAGTGATGATTTTCGGGATAGGATCACAGTGAGTGAATGAGTGATGATTTTCCGGATCGGATCATAGTGAGTGAATGAGTGATGATTTTCCGGATCGGATCATAGTCAGCGAGTGATGATTTTCAGGATAGGATCACAGTGAGTGAATGAGTGATGATTTTCCGGATCGGATCATAGTCAGCGAGTGATTATTTTCGGGATAGGATCACAGTGAGTGAATGAGTGATGATTTTCCGGATCGGATCATAGTCAGCGAGTGATGATTTTCCGCATGGGATCACAGTGAGTGTGGATTTTCAGGATTGGATCACTTTGAGTGAGGATTTACAGATCGAATCACAATCAGTGAATGAGTGATGATTTTATCGGATCGGATCACAGCCAGTGAGTGAGGATTTTCTGGATCGGATCACGATGGGTGAGTGATGATTTCCCTGATCGAATCACGATCAGTGAGTGAGTGTGGAATTTCCGGATCCGAATCACAATCAGTCAGTGAGGATTTCCTGCACCGGATCACAATCAGTGAGTGAGTGATGATTTGCCGGATCGGATCACAGACAATGAGTAAGGATTTTCTGGATCGGATCACAATCAGTGAGTGAGGGATGATTTCCTGGATCGGATCATAATCAGTGAGTGAGTGATGATTTTCTGGGTCGGATCATAATCAGTGAGCGAGTGATGATTTCCTGGATAGGATAACAATCAGGGAGTGAGTGATGATTTCCTGGATAGGATCATAATCAGTGAGTGAGTGATGATTTCCTGGATTGGATCATAATCAGTGAGCGAGTGATGATTTCCTGGATAGGCTCATAATCAGTGAGTGAGTGATGATTTCCTGGATAGGATCATAATCAGTGAGTGAGTGATGATTTCCTGGATTGGATCATAATCAGTGAGCGAGTGATGATTTCCTGGATAGGCTCATAATCAGTGAGTGAGTGATGATATTCTGGATAGGATAACAATCAGTGAGTGAGTGATGATTTCCTGGATAGGATCATAATCAGTGAGTGAGTGATGATTTTCTGGGTCGGATCATAATCAGTGAGCGAGTGATGATTTCCTGGATAGGATAACAATCAGTGAGTGAGTGATGATTTCCTGGATAGGATCATAATCAGTGAGTGAGTGATGATTTCCTGGATTGGATCATAATCAGTGAGCGAGTGATGATTTCCTGGATAGGCTCATAATCAGTGAGTGAGTGATGATTTCCTGGATAGGATCATAATCAGTGAGTGAGTGATGATTTCCTGGATTGGATCATAATCAGTGAGCGAGTGATGATTTCCTGGATAGGCTCATAATCAGTGAGTGAGTGATGATATTCTGGATAGGATAACAATCAGTGAGTGAGTGATGATTTCCTGGATAGGATCATAATCAGTGAGTGAGTGATGATTTTCTGGATAGGATCATAATCAGTGAGTGAGTGATGATTTTCTGGATAGGATCATAATCAGTGAGTGAGTGATGATTTCCTGGATAGGATCATAATCAGTGAGTGAGTGATGATTTCCTGGATTGGATCATAATCAGTGAGCGAGTGATGATTTCCTGGATAGGCTCATAATCAGTGAGTGAGTGATGATATTCTGGATAGGATAACACTCAGTGAGTGAGTGATGATTTCCTGGATAGGATCATAATCAGTGAGTGAGTGATGATTTCCTGGATAGGATCATAATCAGTGAGTGAGTGATGATTTCCTGGATCGGATCATAATCAGTGAGTGAGTGATGATTTTCTGGATAGGATCATGATCAGTGAGTGAGTGATGATTTTCTGGATAGGATCATAATCAGTGAGTGAGTGATGATTTTCTGGATAGGATAACAATCAGTGAGGGAGTGAGGGTTTCCCGGATCAGATCACAATGTCAACTCACCACTCTCGCTCGTGCGATTCACGGAATCCTCGGCGTTTGTGATACTAATTAAAAGAGCAAATTATGTAAGCGCGTTTGTAGGCAATCGACGAATCAACTACTCGTGTGGCTCCATCTATTTTGGCCTCTCTGTGCGGTGTGAATAAGAGGCATTTTTCCACACTTTTATCACTGAAGGATGCGCTGAGTTTTTTTTTAGAACAGTACAATACTACTGTTGCATGTAATTTATACCTCGAGACGAATAAGATACGCCATGGACTGAGAATAACGTTTACACTCTAAAGTGAAAGTATGCGTACACACGCAAGGATTGATTTCTCACGAATTCGTTTTCCATCCTACCACCCACCGCCCAATCCACCCCTCCCCCCGAATCGCAGGGTGGGTGGGGACGGGATTTTCCGGAGTTCAGCCTCGGACGGATCAAACTGAAATGAAACGCTGCGAACGCGCAATACGCATGGGCTGGTAACAGCATATACGAGAGCTGAAATACACACAATAGGCCTACCACAGACTGGGAATAGGTACATGCACAGAATGGCATATACAAATAACATGTACAAAGGGTAAAAGAGACGGCGAATAGCAAGAACGCATTATTGCAGAGACTGCCAATATCATACACAACAGAAATATGCACATAGTGTACCATAGGCTGAGGATGGCGTATACAATAACATTTCCACAGTGTAGTATAGACTTCCACTGCGCAGTTTATTGTATAGTATAACGTGTGTGTGTGCTAATCTCCAGTCTGTGACAGCTAGAGGAGATACCGCGTTCAAGGGGACGACTGCGACGAAGATGGAGCGTTGATTTCAGCCCGTGTGTGCCGGGGTGAGATGGATTGAGAGATGGCGATGCTGTGGGGATGCCTTCATTCAGCAGTGGATCAACAATGGCTGATTAAAATGATGATTATATCCCAAGACAAAAAGTTATATTATACAAAGATTAAGGAGCAAATACGTCATCAAGAACGTACTTTCAAGTGCGACTGACCTTTGACATCATAGAAATGTGAAAAATAATTGGAATGTTTAATTGTTCACTGGCGTATCAGATGTTGATTGACTTTTGTAATACTGTGACATAGTTTTCATTTCGTGGGTTAATAAAATAGACAAATACAAACATCAACGAAGGTAGCGATGGCTCGATGGTTTTCAGACGACACGATTAACCCTGTGACCTCCAGTTCGTTTTCCGGCCACGGCTAACATCAGTGGCGAATGATATATGGGACCTGGCCTGGAGCTCCCATTTCCCCCAACCAACCCATTGTGATCAGCGTGGTGAAGTATGGTCATACCCCCCCCCCCCCCCCCCCCCCCCCCCCCCCCCCCCCCCCCCCCCCCACCACCTCTCCTCCGTGGCTGATACGCGTAGGGGATGCCTTCATCCAACAGTGGATTTAAAAAGGGCTGTGGATTATTATGTATTAAGCTCTTTGCCATTATTATACGCGCAAGCAATACAGTACTCATTGCCATTAAGTACTGTACAATTTAAATTCGTACATACTGTACATTTATATGGAGCTGTAAATTACGACAAAATCGTGAATAACAATCGGACAGTAATACTATGCGGCCCCTTATTAATAAGATGAATTCACATGTTGTTGGCTAATTTTCACCCAAAAGTACTTGATTTCACATTCTAAAAAAAGCCACCGATGATGGATGGCGATTCGTGAATTATTAATTTGGTCCAGCAATCTGGCGTGGAATTGTTGACGTAACAGAATATGGCTGAAGAGAGGACATTGCGATTGCTGAGCCAGTGCTATTGGTTAAATAATCGCAGCATTCCGTTCTTTGTCTACACGCGTAAATGAAGGTGTGCTTTCGCCCACTGTTCTTCACTAATTTTCAGAGTGGGCGGGGGGGTGGAGGGCACTTTCGCCGAAAAGACATCATGAGTGCGAGGAGCCGCCACGCACGTTTTCAACCATTGGGGGGGGGTTGACAGCAGCA